GTATTAATATATTTATATGGGACTTAAGAGTTTCCCAATGATGTTCAATGCTTACCCTTATTTTAATTCTCATAATCGTCCTGAGACAGGGTTGTTATGATCTTGGCTGCTTTCCAGTGAGGTCCTGAGAGGTTGAGGGATCTGACAAATCAGATCTAGATCTAACTGCTTAACATAATATGATTATTATGTTAAGAGAATGGCCATTCACAGATGGAACAGTTATGGGTGAAAAATTGTGGATAAAGATTCATGAGATGAGATTCATGAGTGGCTGAGCAAGAATTAAAAAATTTGGGGCTCATCACTATAGTTAGTTCATCTAATCTGTTCTTCTATTTGAGTATATTCTTTAAAGTTAGGAAGAACATTATAGTATACTGTATGCTCAGATCAAGTAGATATTGTCTTGCATGGGTACAAAGATATGCATTTGAAAAGATAGCATGCAAAGCCTCAATATACTCTCTGTTAAAATCACAATACTCCTGTGATAAAGGATGACCTAAGTTCTTTCTATGTTGTATACCCCCCAAAAGGAGAACTCCTTGTTCATGTGCCATTCTGGAAAACATTGACCATTGGCAAGTTGAGATATTCTGGGTCTAAAATAGAATAATGATATATATTAAACCTTTTTATATGAAAGCTATAACCTAATAACAACCTAAGGATATGGGGAAGGAGGGGGGAGGGAGAGGGATTTGAGGGTTCACTTCTGTGGTTCATCTTGCAAGGGTACAAGTGAATCTTTCTATGAGTAGAATATGAATGTTTTGACATAATAACTAAGAAAGTTACATGAAGGCTATGTTAACCAGTTTGATGGAAATGTCATGGATTGTGTGTGAAAACACCACACTGTACCCCCAAAGTGCATCAGTGTACACAGTTACCATTCAATAAAAAAAAAATAAATAAATAAAAATAAAATAGGATAATGAGAGTATTATCTCAATCACTTAAAAAAATCCAGAGTATTTTCTCAATGAAGTATTTCTTCTAGAAAGCTTTGATGTGCTGCTATTGTTCACTGATGTCTTTATCAAAGCTCGGAGAATGCACTCGGGCATTCGAGAAATGAAATGAAATGAAATGAAATTGCTCTGGGAGGGTTAGCAGATGACAAAATTCAAAAGGAGCAAGAAAATTTTATTAGAAAGAAGTCAGAGATGGCATTGTTTTTAATTCCCAGGCTTTTGTTTGAGGGCTTTGGGGGGGGGGTCTTTTAATAGTGCATAGATAGCATAGTTAAATTTTCTGCTAGCAAAATTATTCCTAATTGTTAAGATAGAATTAGATAAATCACTCTTTTACCATGTTCCACAAGAACCATGAAATCTAGTCATTTCACGGCTTGAACAAGTCAATGAACTCTGCTGACGGGAGGAAGGAAATGAAAAAAGGGAAGGGAGATGAATATGTCACCATGCCAGTGGCTGGGCGAGAAGCTTTGTGTGTGTGATCTCAGCCTGTGCCGTCTTACCCTCCTTTCAAGGTGGGAAACAACACAGAGGAGTTTGGCAGCCTCCCTGTAATCCCGTAGTTCCACACTTTGGCAGATGGGAGGTAACATTTGAATCCAGGTCTGTATTTTTGCTGCTCCCGCCTCCCAGATCTGTGTGTTGTGTATCCAGATTCTTGCTAGAAAATCTGGAATTGCCAGTACCGTGGGTTTATTGAAGAACTTCTCTTTAACAACAATGAAGAGCATGTTAAGTTGGCTTTTATAAAGCAAACTAAATATAAATTGAGGATCAATAAACTTATACTTTTCAAATAAACTGTATCCAAATAGCTATGCAAATGTGCTATGTATAGTTCACTGAACTCAGGTTCTTGCCCTTGCTACTTCCCCAAATCTGTCTTTCTTAAGGTCACTAGTGACTTGTGTGTGTTGCTGAGTCCATTGGCAGTTTTCACTGTTATGTCACTTAATTTATTGATAACATTTGATGCAACTTTTTTCCTTCTTTCTTGAGACACTTAAAAAAAAAAAAAAAAAAACAACTTGGATCCTTCTTAGACCTCTTCTGTTTTCTGTGTGAAATTCACCATCTCGTTTCCCAACTTTGAATACTTATGCTGATCACTCGCAACTGTATGTATCCAGGGAAGACCATTTCCCTGACGCAGACTAAGATAGTCCATTGCCCACTTGACATTGCCACTTGGGTGTCTAATAGGCATCATCTACTTGGCATAGTCTACAAGCTCCAGGCCAGGTATGGTGGCTCATCCCTGTAATCCTTACACTTTGTGAGGTGGGAGGATCACTGGAGCCCAGGAGTTGATGACCAGTCTGGGCAAGAGCAAGATCCCATCTCTAGAAAAAACAGAAAAATTAACTTTGCATGGTGGCATGCCCCTGTATGTAATCCCAGCTACTTGGGAGGCGGAGGCAGGAGGATTGTTGAGCCCAGGAGTTCGAGGATGTAGTGAGCTAGGATCGCACCACTGCATGTGCAACAAAGAAAGACCCTGTTGCAAATAATAATAATAATAATAATAATAAATACAAATGCTATATTCGTCCCCAAACATGCCCCACCTGTATCTTCCACATCGCAGTGAGTGGCCAGTTCATCTTCACAGCTCTTCACACCAAAACTCTTGGCATCATCCTCAGTTCTTCTCTTTTTCTCTTAACCTGTTTTCATTGCATCAGCAAGTGGCCAGGTCTTCCTCAAGAGTTTCTTCAAACTCTGGCTACTTTTCTCTACTCCTATTACTGTCACCGCAGTCCAGGTCACCAAAGCCTCTAGCCTGGGGTGTTACAAGAGATTCCTCACTGGCCTGTTTTCTGCCCACACATCCTACAGCCTGTTCACACATAGTCATTGCTCTACAATATGTCACGATGTCCCTCCTTCGCCTGCCCTGCGTTGACTTGATTCTCATCTTAGAATAAAAACGAGTCTTTACAATACGCTGTGAGGTCCAACAGAATTTATTCCCCAACCTCCCTCCAACTGGCTCTAATCTCCTCTCCTCCATCTCTGTCCTTCGCTTCTTCATCTCCAGACACACCGGGCCCTTTGCTCTCCCTGGTCGGACCCTGGAGTGCTCCCTCCTGGGGGTCTTTGCCCCGGGGTTCCCACAGAGCCCTGTAGGGCTCACTACCTTGTCTCCTGTAGGGATTTGCTCCCATGCCTCTTCTGAGTCCTTTTCTGATTACCCTATTTGAATTGCAATCCCTCTCCTAATCCTTTTATGCCAATGCTTGCTTTCTTTCCAGAGCCCCTGTCACCGTCTGACATACTGTTCATTTTACTCGTTTTTCTTTGTTCATCGCCTCTTTCCCCCCTTAGAATATAATCTCCATGGGAACTGGGTTTTTTCCTTATGTCCCTGTCACCCAGGACCTGAAGTGTAACATGTGCTTAGTAAAGAGTTCTGGAAAAAATGAAGAGCTAACTTGAATTATAAATACTTAAATCTGCATCTGACCAATTACAGATCTAACTAATGGCTTTCTAGTGTTGAACCCGAACTGGCCTCCCGGAATGTGGTAAAGGGCACTTCCTTGCCTGTCCCTCACTCTTGAGTTTGTCGGCCTCGTGCAGGGGCCGTAGCTCATAGCTCTCTGTGGGCAAATGAGTAGATGTCACACTTTAACATGTCTCTACAAGTTATACTTCCTAGTTATGGCTGTTCTTTGGATAAACTAGATATCAGGGAAATAAAATCCTTTCTGCTGCATAAAATGCCCGTCTCAGCTACCCGTGAACACAGAGACTCCTGTAATTTTACTTTTCTTGACTACTTCCTGCCATAGGAGGCCCTGCCGGTGTGTATTTATGTACCTTTTTCCAGTCTGTTCTTCTGGTATAGTTTTTATTTGTTTGAGGTCTGTCCAGGTGGCCTACTTAGCATCACTCTAGTTATTTTGGGTGGCAGTGAGGTGTGTGGATGGTCTTCCCCCGAAGAATCCCAACCGGTCTGCATCCTTTTAGCGAGCAGGAGATTCTGCACTTGATACTTCTTGCTGACCCAACTGGAAGTGGCCAAATGACGCATTTGCCTTTCAGGAGCGATTGCTGGATTTCTGTTTCCCCAGGTGCTATAAATAGCACTTCAGGACACACTCGGGTCCGCTGAACATTTTCTGTGCAGACCAGGTCAGTGACTGCAGAAAGCAAGTCATCCCATGCTTCTGGTTCCCCACTGGTCACTTGCCCTTTAGTGCCTCTTACGTTCTAGACAGACCCTCCCAGGGTGTTTATTTGCTCACGAACACAGCGCTTGCTCTCAGTAAATACTTCTGGTGCCTTCGTTTCCTGGGAAGATCATACTTGTTTTTTAAGATTCATCTCAAGTGAGAAAGCTTTCCCTATCTGTGTTGGCTTGGAAGAAAATGCTTTTGTGTTCCTCAGCGAGGTGCCCCGTAGCTCCTGGTGTGTATCTCTTGTACAGCAACCTCAGCTTTCTAGTAGGGTTTGTTACCTAAGTATATAGGGTCACACTCTCCTCACGCCTTTCTCTCCTCATATCTCAAATTGTGACTACTGACGTCTGTGACTTCAGCTGCCTCGGATTGCTCCCCAACAACCCGCACAGGAAATGCTCAGAAACGTTTGTTGAGTGAATGGCTGATCCTGCGAATGAATGACATGGCAGTCACATAAGGAATAGAATTCATTTGACTTTGTTCCCAGCTTAATGCCTTTAAAAATAATCCTATGTTTAGTTTGGATTTTTCTATTTTCCTTAGCAAACACTCTCTATGACATGCACAGCCAATTGGAGACAGAAAAAAAAAATACTGTTACATTTAAATCCACTTCAGGCAGTGTTGTTTGTTTGTTTGTTTTGCTGTTTTCATGTCAAAGAAACAGGGTAGCATGTTCCTTAACAACTTCTTGGCATCTTTCTTTTCACACGCTCTTTTCCCCGAGGCCCAGTCTTCAGTCAGATTTCTCCAGAGGGCTGTAAACAATGATTTTGTGAGCGGTTGTGTGTTCTTTGCAGTGAAAACCCGCCTTGTTTTCTGTTGCTAGGCAACCCCCTTCCAGCTGCCATTGAAGAAATGTGCGGTGGTGGGAAATGGTGGGATTCTGAAGAAGAGTGGCTGTGGCCGTCAAATAGATGAAGCAAATTTTGTCATGCGGTAAGAGAGAGCACCCACAGCGCGGCCTCTGCCTTTCTCTCCTTGTCCCCACCCCTCCCGTGAGCCCTGGGGCCATTCAGGTCTAGTCACTGTGATTCATCAGCTGTAGCACTGCTCCTTGGCTTCCCTTTGAGCTCATGGACAAGGGAGTTTAGGAGAGGGGGAAAGGGAGAGAGGGAACAGGCCCCAGAAAGTACAGAGCCCCCGAAGGCCCCGATGGAGAGAGATACCCGTTCTGCTAAAGATGAAGGCTTCAGGAACGGGGGCAAAACTCAGATGTTAGTTTAGATAATACAGTCAGTTGATTAAAACTTTTCCATTTATTCTTTTATTAAAGCAACTCTGTGTGAAAAAGCATGTTAATTCGCTCATTTTATTCTGCTCCCTGTTGCTCTTAATTTTTCACAAAAGCATCTGTAAATAGCAAGTGGGATCTGCGTGTGACTGGGAGAAACGGGGGGGGGGTTCAAACAGGAGGACCCTTGGTAAAGGGACTGAGGAGAGTGGGGATGTGAACAGTGAGAACAGGAGGCCCCGCAGGACAGGGAAGGAATCGCTGAGACCACCCGCTTCTATTGGCAGCAGCCTGACTGTTGGGTGATTTGGACCAGAGGAGCTTAGCAGCCAGGTACAGGAGTAAAGGATTCCTCCTCCAGTGACTGGATGAAGGCAGGTTTGAGATGATCTGGGTGGGAAGAAGCAGGATGGGGGATAACGACATGGAGCTTTCTGGCTAGAGAGAGTGTGAGGTAACAGTCCGTGAGTTCCGGGCTGGGTGGAGGAGAAGGGAAGAGGGCCAAACACGAATGAGGGAGTCAGCTGGGGGGGGGGGAAGCTGGGCTGGTTGTGAGTGAGAGGGCAGTGGAAGAATAGTAAGAAGAAGCTAAAGTCAAAGAATAGCCCGCTGGAGGGTAAGGTTTCAGAGTTTGGCTTATCTAGGGATGAGCAGACATCTCCTAACAAAGGAAAACACTCTTTCGTTATTGAGGAAGTAAAGGAACTTCAAGGACAGACTCCCCGGGAACCCTAGGGTCTTTCAGGTGGACCCTAAAGTTTCACAGATGTGGGCGTGTCCATGAATCAGGTGTCAAAAGTTCCTTGGCTAGAAAGGCAGAAGACGTGCAGTGACACAGGGGGCAGAAAACTAGCAGAGGAGGGAGGGAGTTTATTTTCTTTGTGTTTATTTTTAAGGATTAATAAGTAACAGTCCGGGAATGGCAAAGGTGGCCCAGAGAACATTAAGCCTCCTCTGAGCCTCGAGCGAGGTGGGGTGGAGAAGCGTAAGGGCGCTATGGGAGAGGGTTTCAGTGGAGCCATGGACTTGGGGGAGGCCCAAGTTCCCTGCCTGCGGGTGAGAGTGGGACTTCTTAAAAGACTGTCCTCTCACTTGGTGAAGCCTGCAGCAGGATGGGGAGGCCCTTCCACACCCCCAGTCCTTGTGGGGGGTGCCCTAGCATCCTTCTGCTGTCATAGGAAGGTGTTTTCCTGTCTGTTGCATTTTCTGCCTTTTGGCAACATGTTACACACAATAGGAAAAGTTTTAAAAATGTAGTTCTTTGAATTCCAGTCAGTGCAGCATCTGTTTATTGAGTACCTGCCACACACTGGGCCTTGAACTGGGTCTGGAAATGGTCTGCTGAGCAATGCTGTCGTGGACTGGACCCTGGAGATGCGCTTGCTCTGACGGGGAGTCAGGTGCACAGGGGCCTCTCGGGAGAAGTCGTGTCTGGGCTGAGTCCCCCAGAGTGACTGAGTCCCCTCAGTTCTCCGTCCCACCCCAGGGAAGAGAAACAGCCCGTCCAAGGCTTTCATGTGGCTAAGACGGCAAGTGCTGCCACCGCCGTGTTGTGAACACTGGGGAGAATGGCGTGAGATGGAGCCAGGGGGGCATTTAGGGCTTAGGGTGGATGAAATCACCTCCAGAGTGTGCACAGATGACAGGAGGTCTGGGCCGCTTTAGGCACCCACTCCAGCGTTTGGCATTCAGTGAGGCTGAGGAGCCCCCAAAGGACACAAAGAGCCAGGGACAGGCCCCCACTGTTGGCTAGGTCTGCCACCCGCAGCATGCTGCTTTTCCTTTCTAATCCCTATGAGGGGTGGGAGCAGACAATTCCTCAGGCTTTTCCACTGTGGCAACTCAGATTCCATCTGTGATAGTATGAAACTATAGTAGGACCTCTGTAAGTTGCCCACCTGATGGACTGTAACAAATTGGTCAACATACATAGATGGTCAACATAAGGAACTAGGCCTGCTGTGCTGATATGCACATGTGGTGCATGTTTGGTCTCTGAGAATTAGGTCAACTTAAGGAGGTGATCAATGTAGGCAGTTGGCCAACTATGGAGGTTCTATTGTCTATGATTTTAACATGATTTATGTCATTTAAATTTTCAAATTGTTCTTATGTGTGAGTTTATTTGCTTGCTCTAAAAACTATACGATAAGGAAAAAATAAATAGATAATATTAAATTCACAGATTCAGAGGCATTAAGTGATTCCAAGTGGTCTTCAGATCAGACAGTAATGAAGGAATCAGGGCAATAAGTATATTTTTGTGTCATCCCAAGTGTGTAAATGTGTGTGTCATTATATTTAGTAAGGTGGATGTTTGAAACTTAACATATAGAAGATTAAGCCTATACATCATGGAGGGTTATCTAGTGGGGCCACATTTATCACAAATAAGCAAGACTAAGTTGGCCTTATGTGCAATTTGGTTCAAGATTCATGAGGGCCCAGCACAATATTCAGCATAATATTCACAGACTGTGAACAAGGTGAGGATTAAAAAGAATTCAAAGAAAGAGCATCGTTACTAAAGCTATGTATACGTGTACCCTTGATTAATTTCAAGAATAGTGCCATTTCATAACACATTCAAATTTTTAGAAGTCCAATGAGTTCTATACGTTGTACTGCAGAGCTGGTCACACGTTTGAATTTTTAAGAATCCTTATTTATGGTGTACATTAGGGGAGTCATAAATGTCGATAAATTATTTTAAAATTATTATTTGATCACTTGCAGATCTATTTATAAATGACTTGCTCAATATACATGTTGGGGGCACCCTTAGGATACTGAGATAGTATCACATATTCAAACTTAGACACTTAGTGCGTAGATGTAGCTTAGAAGGCACGTGGTTAAGTGTGAGTCTAGATGACAGGGTGCATAGACAGATCCAGTGAGCAAGGAAGCCCAGAAATAGCCCTGCCTGTGCAGAGCGGAACACCAGATTACGGTTCCAAATGTCTTCTAGGACTAAGATATAACAATTCTGAAATTTTCTTTCCTCAGATGTTTTCAAACATGTCTTCTAGTGCTAAAAATCAATTTCCCATTTTTCAAAGTAAACATTTGCTCTGTAACCAAAAGCAACACTTTAAAAAATAATATCGTTGAATTCAATTTATCTGGAAGGTCTGCAAGATAGAGGTAATAGTAGTTGCATCTTAAGAGAGGAACTGGGTGGATTAAAGGTACAAGTGAGGGCAAAAAAAATGTTGGTGGCTTTTTGAATGATGCTCAAAGGCATCTTTTGCATACTCAAATATAGACAAAAATTTGAAAGTCATTTTTATGATTCTTTAATTGAAAGATTTCCTTCTCCCAAGCCCATTTCCTACCCACCTCCACTCCCCAATTCAAAGAATATTCATTTCTCATCAGTTTTATGATTTGATCTCTTTTAGGATCATGAGCGCATTCAGTTACGAAGATACGTTAGCCGTTAATATCTGTCATTTCTGTCAACAAGTGTTAAGGCAAAGTTTGAAACACTTTTACACAATTACGCCTTATTAGAAATGATTTGTATGTAATGTGTCTTTTATGTTAATCTATGCAATGATTGACTTCCTTGATGAGCTAAAATGATGGTGTGCTTTTCCTAAGAGAAGGGGTACAGGAAAGTATGGCAGATACATGCACTTGACGAGAAAGATTATATAAAAAAATTAAGGATATTGACATTAAAATGTATTGTCATTATTTTCCAGAAATGCATCAAGATACATATAATCTTTATTTCATACAAAATGGATACAAAGTATTATCTCTGTGGTTTTAAACATTTCTCTCTGCTATAGGATATAATCAGTTTCTAGAAATTTTTCTTGTGCTGTTACTTGGTGGTACGAAATGTGAAGAGACCCAGGCGTATGGGCCATAGAACATACAGAAAAAGAAAGTATTTACTCATGAAAACCAACTTGTTTTGTTTAATTGTGATGACCCAGGTTGGCAGCACTCCCTAGCAATATTCAGTTTATAGTTTCAGTAAAATGTGGTTGATTCTCACATGTTCCCAAAGGCAATCAAGATCAAAGCTTCTTTAAACGTGTCCAAATTTTTGGTCTGTGTTTTATTTCAAAGGAGTCATCTTCATCTTTGCAAGGATCAGTTACATTGCAAGACCACAATCAGATACCACAGCCGGAAGAGGCTGATTGTTAATGCCCAAACACTCGGCAATATGAGGAAACCACGTGGGCCAGGGGACAACCACCAGACTGTAGATATTGTAAGAGCAGGCTCTGTGACTTGGGCTCTTCCCTGAGTTCCCCACGATGCATGCCCCACGGTGTGTGCTCTCCATAGGTGCTCAGCAAAAGTCACTGACTGGCTGACTGACTGTGGGTCTTTACCAGAAGAACCAGTATCTCATTCCCAAAGAGCAGATGCAAGAAAGATTCTGAGTCAACTGTATAGGTTACCCTGCTGTGGGGAGAGTCACAGGGTCAATACAAAACAAAATCAGGGAACTTGAGCTGATGAGCTGAGTGGACGGCTATTTCCATCTCTTGGGGGAAACCTATAGGGAAAATGTAGTAGTTGGAGGAACTAGCAGAGACCTCAATATTTGTAAGCTGTCTTTACCTATAAATAAATGATGCTTTGGTTTGCTGAAGTAATAAAAGTTAGGAATGTTCTGATGTCTGTCTAGTTAGGGATATGAGTGAAGAGGAGAAATTAGGACACCGTAATAAAAACTAGTGGAAACTGTAGGCTCACTTGGGGTTTTCTTAGAGAATTAATGTATATTTAATTGTATTTGTATGATATTTCTGATTTGCAATAATTTTGAAGATTTACTATGTGTGAGACCTTAAGGTTATAGACTTTTATGCATTGCATATTTCCTTAAGTCTTTAACAATTCAATGAGAGAGGAAAAATCATTATCCTCATTTTGTTTAATAGAGAGACTGAGGCCAAGCAAATGAGTTAACTTGTCTAATGACCCTCAGGCAGGAAGCTGTGGGGCCTATTTTCCGTTGTAGACAGTCATGAGACATTGTGGCCAAGGAAAGCAATTGGGACAGTGTAGTATTTTAGAGATGGGATTGGCTGGCTATTTCCCTCACCAGAAAAACACGAGTTATCGTTTTTCCTTTGGCTGAACTGGGATGGTGGGGAATCATTGCCCTTCGTTGGATGACAAATCATTGTGTCTTCACTGGTCATCGACCTATGCATTGCCATGTACGCAAAAGTCAGACTTGTGTTGATTTAGGTGAATAAGACATTGCCTTGCATACAATATTATAAATTTAGATTTGGGGGCGCAACAACAAAGGAAACACTAGCAAATATATCAATTCCTCTCTGTCTCTTATGGTTTATGGGTATGCAGAGAATTCTGCAGGTTCTGTGTCCTCTCCTGTGTCACACTTTCCTGAGTCTAAGGTTAAGTCTAATACATCCTTTCCTGCCATCTTAAAAATATTCTGAATGGAATAAATACATTTTACTTACTATCTCTTTCTTTCATAGATCATTGACCTCTCTGGCTGACATTTTCTTTCTTCTAAAACACGACTAGTTTTTATGATAGCATTTGGAAGATGCTGGTAATTAATTAGTCATCTAATATCTATTAAAAGGAAGAGGTGGTAAAAAATGATTTGTGAATGGAGCTAGAATGACTAATATTCCTATTCGTGTCGTTATAAACAATTTAAAGGATGCAAGTAAGTCTAAAATGTTTGTTTTTGCTTTTCTAGATGCAATCTTCCTCCTTTGTCAAGTGAATACACGAAAGATGTTGGATCCAAGAGTCATTTAGTGACAGCTAATCCAAGCATCATTAGGCAAAGGTAAGAGTTTGTGACTTCTGTTTGTAAGGAATTAAGAGGGAGGCTTTGGATGTATTTAGCATCTCAAAGGCAGTGAGCAGTTTGGGAAACAAACAAAAAAACCCATCTGGACTGGCAGGGAGGATGGAAGGAATTGTAAATAAACGAGGCAGGATTATGGGAATCCAAACAAAATTTTATGTTTCCTCTGGGATTCTGTTTCTTGCCTTTAGAGATGGTAGAAATAACTTGAGCACCAATTGTTTTGCTCAAGAACAGAACAACACTCTGCTTACTCATTACTATGACTTTCCAGCTTACTGGCTTCTGTTTCAATTTATTGATTGGCAACTGTGAACTGAATTAATATCAAGAATAAGAAAAAACAAATGTCCAACCTACTGTGTGTATATATGCAGATATATATTCATCAAAATAGCAATATTATCAGAATGTACAAGAAAGTGTACTTATACTCTGTTATATTCAATCAGATTTGGGAGAGCAAATGGAAAATTCTTGTTCAAGTATCAATTCCAGAAACCTTGGAATTCCAAGCAATTACAGTCTTAGAGGTTGCAGTGGGCCCTTCTCAGGGGTCAGTCTCTGGTTAATGAAGCCCATCAGTGAGCCGTCAGCTGTTTCTCTGAGGACTGTTCATTGTAAAGGATAAGTCAGTCTCTAAGGAAACAGGAATCAAATGCTGTCTTTAGACCCAGCAATTAGGAGTGAAATATCCAGATGTTCTGGGCCCAGGCAAGTGAATAGTGTATGTGTGTGTGTGTGTGTGTGTGTGTGTGCATGTCACTTTATCACAATGCACCGTTACTGGGCGCAGGCAAGTGAATAGTGTGTGAGTGTGTGTGTGTGTGTGTGCGCGCGCGCGTCACTTTATCACAATGCACCATTACTTGCTTTGGTTCATAAGTAAAGGGTTCCCATAAAATATCTAGGAATGCAATTAAACAATTTTTAATTCTGAGAGATACTGGGAAAATACCATCCTCAAATGTACCATTTACTTTCTCTTCAGTAATGTACAAGGTTGTTTCTTTTCTCATATCAAAAACAACATTATGCATTGTTAATCCTTTAAGCTTTCATTAGTATGGTGAGTGAAAAATGATATATTATTTTTTGCTTAATTTGCATTTTTTCAAATTAAGAAGGGCTGAGTGGGTATTGATGATAAGGATTTCTTCTTTGGTGAACTGCTTCTTTGTATCTTTTGCCTATTTTCTGCTATCATTTAAAATATTTTTTCTGTTGATTTATAGAAACTGTTTATAATTAGGGATATTAGGTCTTTTGTTATAGATGTAGCAGATATCTTCTTCTAGTCTGTTCACGTATGTTTTCATTTTCATCCTATTGGAGTTAAAGAATTTTTAGGTGTTGAGATTTGTTAGTCTTTTCCTTTATGGCTTCTTTTATTAAAACAAACTTTCCTTAGATGATCATACTAACTCTGCTCCTTTTCCCCCATGGACAATATGCCCTGTATTTTTCTAGTGCATTGAATAGCTTTTTAATATTTGAGAAATGTAATCTATGTGAATGTATTTATTTTTATAATAATTTTATTGTGTTTCAACACCGATAATAAGTTCGTTATAAGAAATTAAACATAGGAGACAAATACAAAGAAGAAATAAAAGGACCCTTACTGAAATAAATATTTTCTTTGGTTAAATTTTTTAAAAATACTTAATAGATTTATAGGAAATTGCAAAAGGAAAAACAAAAAGAAAAGAAAAAGCTTCCATGTACTCTTCACCCAGTTTGCCCCAAAGGTTACGTCTTTTATAACTATAGGTTAATACTTTGAGTATTATTTTGATTTGGGTTAGGAATAAAACAAATTTTAAGAAGGAATACACGTTTCTGGGGCAGGGGGATGAAACATTTAACATATTATATCTAGGAACAGAAGATTCTGTTTTTCTACTGGAGTAGACAGAGTTGGTATAAGATTTAAAATGCCATGTGAAAAAGAATATTTACAGCAAGATTTAGAGCAGGTGTCAGAGAGAGAGAGGAAATGAAGAAAGGAGAGAGAAAGAAAAAGAGATTGTGTTTTTTGAGGAATAAATAGAACTGCAAATGGAGGAAGGACAGAGTCAAACATTAAATATCAAAGAAGAAAGTAAACTTGTTAGTTAAAACTCAAGTTCACAATGAAGAAAAATTCCCGGACAAGCAAGGATCATTAATATAAATACTGTCAGCCTTTATTTGTCATTTCTGTGGGCCAGCTTCTGTACGCTTTATATGCATTGCCACACTTAATCCTTAAAACCATCCTAGAGGTAGAAACTATTTTAATTTATGTATTTCATAGAAGAAGCAGCCTGTGATAGGGTAAGTTTAGGAACTGGCTCGTACTTACAGCTGCTTGTAATCGATTTGGGACTTTACCCAGACCTCTCTCATTCCAAAGCCCATGTTCCTAATCAGTGACCATTTCTGAAAAGAAAAAAACTCAAACTATTTCTTCCTCTGCTCTCATACCACAACAGCAATCAAAACCTAACCTCAGTGACCAAATGTGTTTGGGTTTCTCCTTACACACAAGCAAGCAAGCAGTTTGCCATGGATGTAGGCTGGGTGTCCTCCAGTTCGTTTCCTACACTATCTGCCTGAGGACAGTGTCAGATCCTGCAGGGTGAGGGCTCAGTCCCAAGACAGCCTGCCCTCCCAGTCGCTGGTCCAGGCCACTGGAACATCTCACTAACTGGCTCCAAGTTGGGATCCCACCACTCCCACTTTGGCTTTGATTAATTTACTAGAGTGGCACACAGAACTCAGGGAAACACATTTACTGCTTTCTTATAAAGGATATTACAAAGGTAAGATGACCAGATGTCCCGCTTTTGGTGGGACAGTCCCAATTTTTAACAATTTGTCCCGCATCCTGCTGTGTTTTAAAAAAGTCCTGATTTTTGGAAAGAATGCAGGACAAACTAGGGAACAGCAGGACAATGGGAAGGGAATATATGGTTTTAGGCTGCTGAAAAGGTTAATGTAACTCCATTTGGGAATGAAGAGGTTAATGTAACTTCATTTGGAAATGGAAAGGCTAATGTAAATTCCCTACTCCCCTCCTGGGCAAGGTCGCCCAGGTGGAATCGGTATCAGGAGACTGGCTCCCTCCCTCCTTTCTAGGCAAAGACAATTAGCTCAGAAGGAGCCAAATTGTCTGGAACAAACAAGTAGCCCCCACCCCACCAAGGTCCCTAACCACAAACAGCTCAGCCAATAGCAGCCCAGCCCAACTAAACACCCAAAGAAATTCCTCTATGTGCTTTTAAAACCTCAGCTCATTTCACTAGGGGGTCACCCTTCCTCCAGACGCGCTGAAGGGAAGGGTGGCCCAGGCATATGCTTGCAAAATAAAGCACTTTTTGTCTTTACATGTGTGTGGTGGTCTCTCAGCGGCAATTCTGGTCCCAACACTGCCATGTGGCTATTTCGCCAGGATATGAGTTTTATATTATTTTTGTTAATTTTATGTTAAACTTTAATAATAACAAATAATTGTTGAGAACTGATTATCGAAACTGCTTATCAAAGTTTGCATTGTTGATCAGTTGTTAGGACTCGACCACCATTGTTTGGATTAATGAACAATGGCATTTTTTGGCATTGGCAACCACAAAAACATTTTGTAACTGTCTCTTAGATGATACGCATCATACTGCATGCTAGTGCTAGTTAAACAAGTGATGTCAACCAATCAGCTATTCAGATAATTTAGGTAAGTAATTTATTTATTTATTTCATGAATTTAGCAGACAGTACTTGTATTATTTATATTTTATAGTGGCAGCAAAAAGTCTAGCGCCAGCCTTGAAAGTGACACTTACGACTTATGAGGTATCGTTATTAAAAAAATATATTGATAAGGAAAAGGTTAACTCTTGGGCATCAGCAAAAATCATAATAGAGAACATATGTTTAGAAATATTTCATCATTTTGAAACAAACCATGTTCTATACAATAATGCACTAAATTGTGGGATACACGCTGTCCTTACCAGGAACTAATGCTGCTATTGAATGCATTTTTTTCTATGGTAAATAAAGTGTGGACATTAGAAAAATCACAATTAAGTGTTGAGACTTTGAAAGCCACTTTATGTGTGAAATATAATTTAACAAATTCTTGTGAAAATTTTCATGACTTTTTAAACAATGACAGCAATCTACTAAAAAAATTCACTCAAATGAGAAATATGCCAAAGAATAAAATTATACTATACATAATTTTTTTTTTTGGGCCAGGGCTGGGTTTGAACCCACCAACTTTGGCATATGGGGCCAGCGCCCTACTCCTTTGAGTCACAGGTGCCACCCTATACATAGTTTTTTTTAATGTGTTATATTTATAAATTGTACTTATGTTGAAATTTAAAAAATATATATATAATACTATTTTTGTGTTCTATGAAAATTTTTGTTGCTCCATATAGACCAAATTTTTAATTAAGAACACCCCGGTCAATGGTGTCCCGCTTTACCAATGTTAAAATCTGGTCACCTTATACAAAGGCTATAGAAGAAGAAAGGCATAGGGCAAGGTTTGGGGTAGGGCCATGGAGCTTCCATGCCCTCCCTGGGGCACCACTCTCCAGGAGCCTTAGTTGTCTGGAAGCCTCTAAGCCAAGTCTTTTCAGGTGTTTATTGAGCCTTCATTACATAGGAATGAAAAAACCATGGGCTATAGGTGATCGATTCAACCCTCAGCCCCTTTGCCCACCCTGAATGTCTGAGGGATGGGGCTGAAAGTCCCAACTTTCTAATCCAGTGTTTTTCAACCTTTTTTAATCCCACAGTACTCTTAAACCTATAGTTAAACTTCAGTGGCACAAATTATGTTGATAGGAAAAAAAAAAAGTAAAAGACAGAATATACTTACTGGGCTTGAACTTCTTTCAAAAATAATTTTATTTTAAATTTCAGGTTACAATGTTTGCATTTGTTTGGCAGAGCCCTACTTGTGGTTGTGTCCCACACCCAAG